TGGCAAAGTATGCAAACGGAACCGCCCCCAAACTGCTTAGTGCCCTACCTTCGGAGGCGGTTTGGAACCACTGCTATATATATATATTTTAATAGTTACATGGATGATTTGGATATATATATGAACAGTCTGTTACTTACTCGTATCACCTCCGACAGAGCTGACAATGATTTTGATTACATGATCAATTATTATATTGTAATTTCGCCGAGTTCACTCGGTAAGATCGCAATCTCTTATGCTCCGAATTTTCTGTGAAGGAATCATTCTTCTCTGGTTTTAATATCTCCATATCTTGGAATGAGAATGTACCTCCAATTTCAAAGACACAACTACAGTTATAACATTGATAATAAATCAACGTCATATATTATCCTGTGTATACATTGTGGAGCATCTGCAGGAAGCACCCCGGCGACCACAGCCATTGTGACCAGGTCTGTGACCACTGCTAAAGTAGCTAATCCTAGGGATCGCTTGATTAAACGATATACACGAGATCTCCGTCTTAGTTTGGTTGTCTTTTTCATGATTTTTGCTAATTTTTGTGGCAAAGACAGGTCTTTGTCTATAGATGACCAATCTGTGCCGGCAGAGGAGTCAGACATGTGACTTTTGGTGCGGCACAACCATCGTCTACTTTTCTCTATGTCCGGTAATTGAGGTACCGCGTCATTTTCACTCGAAATTTCCTCCATTCCATTACGACTCAACTTTGGTTCAGTCGCACAAGATGCGGTAACTGTTGGTATGTTTTCATAAAAGTGTTTCTCTTTGTTCTCATCTTTAACGATTTCTTCTGCAACTCTTTTTGCCTCTGCAATTTTTCTGTTTTGCTGTTTGTTGTAATGTACTCTTAAAGGGTGTATAAAGAGACCAAGTAATAAGCATTGCCCTGTTAGCATAATGCCTCCATAAATATAATTTCTGAAAGCGTATTGCCTTCTACCGTATTTGAAAACACAGCCTATCGGTGTAGACTTGTATTCTGAAGGAAACATTGTGACTGGTATCACGCCTATACCCAAGATACCAATTATACAGATGCTAAATTTACTGAACCGACCAGCACATTTGCCAAACGTGTCGCCCATTGACGGATGACTATAAAATGTTCTCTGTCTGATCCAAAAGAATAAATTTATGCTCAGTATTGCCACAGCAAACGCACCCTTACCCATGTCAATTACAACCTCACATGTAGTATCACTAGGGCCATCGAGCATTATTAAAAGAAGTGAAAGGGTGCATAAATATCTGATCAATGGAACAACAACTGCAACTGCTGCTACTTTTACAATAATCCCACCATTCAGTTTGCTTCTTCGCTTCGTAGAATCGGAGATGGCATATAATAAAACGCGTATTGTTATCCATAAGTGCATGAGAATAAGAGCAATGTTGGGTATCAAGCTAACAATCCAAAATTCTTGTGTTGATATTAGTTGATTATTCTCTTTGGCATCCAGTGAAATGTTGCGTTTAACATGGAAATCTTCTCTTGAACCCATGACCTTTCACATTGAAATTTATATTACATCGACATTATTACATCCAAATTTAGAAGAAAATGCAATATAAAGATCATTATGTCTTTGCTCCTTTTTTAAGGTTAGTAGTTTGAGATGAGATGAAAAATACTACACAGTAAATACTAACGTTTATTGACGTCAATAATGAACTGAATTCACCGTATTGCCGAATTTATAGGAATCGAATAGTTCAAGTCTATAGATGTATAATAATCCTGATGCAACAACAGTCAAGGCATGTTCTGCAACACATCACCTCATAAGAAACTATCTCATACTACATCGAAATCACCAATTAAACTCTTGGATTCCAGGCTTCTCTTTCGCAGGAGATGTTACAAAATACATGAATGGTATGGTTAGCGTAATGGTTAGTCATCCCATCTGCGCTGATTTTTGAGGCAATAATTTTTCCAAAGATGTAACATTAAAAATTGTTGGGTTTTGTAGATACTTTGATTCTTGAAAAATGTAACTCATCAATTTTCTAAATTAGCTCGTGCTCATTTTTGGTACTTCGTAAAACGTTTCCTTAGTAATGAGCTTCCAAAAACTCGATCTATTGTCGGATCTGTTCTAGAGTAAACTGACATTTTGCGTATTTTGATAGTCAAATTATAAATTTGTGCCGTCAAATTTTTAGGGTTGGAGAATCAAAATACTCAAAATGCGATCTCATACAATCCAAATCTGAGTGCCAATACGAACTGTCATTTTATTATATCTTCCAGCATGGGTTTACTCATTTATATCGAAGCCACAACGTCTATTTTTTAAAGTCAGTCAGATATCATCTTATGTGGCCTAACTATTGCAAAAAAAAACGACAGAACTTTCTTTAAATATATATATTGAAACTAACAGTGAACCGATGTCCCCAAGTCTTGAACATGTGAAACGGTCGAATAATGTATAGAATCTCTTGCAGTAATTTACAATGTTTTAACGGGTCGTGATTCAACTAAATGGGCGCGCATTACTTTTCTTTCACTTTGGGCCATGATTTGATTCTAATTACAAAGCGGAGTATAGGCTGATGTTATCGAATCTATCTAATGATAAACGAATCTAAGAGTGTTTTGTTTCCTACAGTTGACTCAGAGAAAAGCAATATTTTCATCGAATGATACCAAACCATAATGAATAAAAACTGGCAGTTGACACTAATTCACGTCTAGTCAAATAAATGAAAAGTGATGATTAATATTAGCAAAATACATGAATGCATTTACGTCGTGGGACAATTATGGCATAGCGCATGAAAATGCGCGGGTTTACAAAGGGCTGCGGAATGCGGCATTTTTGCAGGTAGTTCAGCACAGGGTCGTATGGACAAATTTGAAACTGCCCCTATTGAAATAAAGTCCATTTTTCCCTCCATTCCATTTTTCATTGAAATTCCAGCAGCCCGCACTAAAAACTGCACGAGAACAATACTGAGTGTGTTGTAGAACAGACCTGTTCAAACTTTTCAGTGTCGTGGGCCACTTTCACATGAAGACATTCATTGCGGGCCGCAAACGTTTTTACCAAACTTGAATAGCACCCCAGTTCTGATTACGTTGGAATTTGCGCGTCGCTAAATCAAACGCCTGGATTGCACAACACTTTTGTGGATTTCTGAACACAAAGACTATGAACCATGAAATTCAACTCAACTTTCATGCAAAATGCACAACTTTTAAGCAATAATATACATTGGCATAAAAAATCGAAAAAAAAATAATAAAGTCTACAGTTTTCCCTTCACCTAGTGCGAAACTTGTTTTTGAATGTCATTGCTCAACTGTTTAATATCAACGGGTAATTTTGATACCGCACAACGTAACTGGCTTGTCGAATTGTCGTTAGTCAGCTTACTCGTATACTTTGATTTCATAATTTCGAAAAGAAAGATTTGCACAAATATGTTGTTCTTATTGCCGCCGCAATACGCATTGCCATTTGTCTCAGGATGGGAACTTATCTTCATCGATATACTCACTGTATAGAATTCAAGTTTTCTAGCTCTTCGAAACGAGTGTTTCCGTTCCGTACTTGACTGGACATCAATCAATTTGCATTTATTCTGGGGCCTCTTCTACCCGAATGTCAAATGGACACATAGAATTTTTAAAGAGATAGTCGAATTTTTGTAAGTAAGCGAATTTCTCTATAAATGCTTCCAACAACTTCTGTAAAATCATATTCTGTGGCGATTAACAACGCTTTTTTATGGCGGAGCCGTGTGAAATTAAAGCTCAGATACATAAAATAATGTTTTCCAATCGGCACTGTATGCGGGAAATGCATGTAGCGGAGGGTATCGATATAGCAAAGTAGCATCAGGTTCTCGCATACCTCAAAACATTCGACTGCCCTCTTGGATACACGCAATTCTGAAGGAGTCTCTATTCTGTAACAAGACAATTTAAGACAGGGGTCGGGAACCTACGGCCCGCGAGCAATATAATCCGGCCCGCGACGCTTCACTGAAATATAGTAACAACACAGCTGTTTTGTCGATTATATTCTTCAAGCAAAAGAATTTACGTGTAGACTAAATTCTATTATAACGTTACAAGTATATAAGTCACAATTAATCGTTTAATGAGCCTAAAATTTAATTATAATTTAGACAAATGGCAACAAAACGCCGAAAAGTTGATGCTAAGTGCAAATGGTTTGATGGCACAAAAAATATCCAAATGGTCAGTCTTCGCGCGCTGCTTAAAATTTAAACTCTGATCTTTGTGAAAAAATGTGATTCATCGGTCATCCGTTCGGTTTTAAACTTTCTAAAAATATGTGCGACCCGCCAATGACTTGCAACCTTCAATTTTAGCCCGCGAGCGACAAAAGGTTGCCGACCCCCGATTTAAGAGATTCAACAGATAAATTGTATAGTTATGCCATAAACGTTGTTGCAGCCCTTTTATCAATAGCTGCGTACGGGTCTACTATAGTAGTTCATTTACTGTTAGATTGAATTGGGGACGATTCATTACTTTCTGGTAGTTGCAGGCACAAAAGTTTTGGTTATTGATTTTATGACATTCGTTCCTTCTGGGCCGTATTTGGCCCGCGGGCCCCAGGTTGTGCACCCTTGCAGTTAGGCATATCATAATTATGTTTGCGGCACTATCTTGCTAACTGGCAATTTCTTCTAAAAAGGGCTCCAATGATCTGTATAAAACGCCGATATATTCACGCATACCGACCGCGTCAATATATATATTATATATATAATTTGCAGTCCAGACTCAAAAGCCTGATCTCATGACTTTCGTGGACGAATACCCCTTCTGGGAAATCGCAACTACAGATCATACCAGACTATGGCTAAAACATTAGCACAATTTCAACAAAGCTCCCAACAGTTACCGAGATTAGTCAGAATATTGTATATGATGGTATCGTCCTATGATATATTAATTTTCAACACTGTCATCTCCGTTTTTACCCATACCCGATAAAATACACGTTCAATAAGGAAACATACTTTGTAATTAATAAAAGCAATTAACCTAGAAACAAAAATTAACTAAATGCACATTGCAAATAACCATATATAAATATAGTACAATATTTCATAAGAAATAATGTAATTTTTCTAATTTTCAGCTGATGGCGATGAATCTTTGGCGCTCTCATTGAGTTTCCTTTAAAATTGTTGGGGCAATCATGGTAGGAAAAGAATAGTACTTGCAGTTGCTGGGTGGCTGGTTCTTGATGATTGTTGTACTGACAGCGGATGATTGAAATCCAGCTTCGGCCAAATGGCTGAGCTGCGTTTCCTGTAAAAATGTAACACAACATATATCGTCAAGATAATAACCGAATTGCGCAAGTCATTTTTAGCAGTTTTGAGAAAAACGTAAAAATTTTCCTAGTGATATTTGCTATGCCATTGAGAGTCAATAATTTGCCATAGTTCAATTTTTTGATCGTAGCCGGATTTAAGTTAATTTGTATGACGCAGTCATATGACGTCATAATGGCGCACTGTGACTTAGGCAGAAATGTGTCTATGACCTGGGGACATACGCATTTTTGCAACTTGACTATATTCACCAGTCCTGAAAACCAAACAATCCAAAAACGAATGTAATTCTTATTATCTACGATGTCTAATCCACAAAATAGCTAATTTGTTTTAATTACATTATTTTTTATGTTTAAAAATATATATTTCATCACTATAACACGCTCTGCACACCCACCGAAATAAGACTAAGATTAAATATAAAGAATAAAACAGCAATGTACCCTTATATAGTAGCCAACCAAGTTGAATTGGACTCAGACAGTGGGTATCACAAGTGCACGCCTTCCTATACTGAAGTTTAAATTCAAATTTATAAGCGCTAAACTAGAATCCGAGATGCAAAAACTCGAAAATTCTTCGCAGAAGTTATTTTGCTGTTGTGACGTCACAATAGTTCTGCGTTAACAATAATTCATCACGACGAATCAATTGAACAAATTTGCATGTCATACAAAATCTCAATTTTTATGGGTTTTGGAATTCTTAAAATAAAATCTGAGTTAAGAGACAGTTGCGCAGCATTATATAAATATGACGATATTCTATGGATTAGGTGGGGAAATCAATCATAAAAGCAAAGATATTATCCCATGCGGAGATAATTATGTGCGAGAGGACTGCTGGACTCTTCGCCGGCCCAGGGATGAATATGTAAATCCTATTAATCGGCAACAGCTGTGGAAAAATGCAGAATCACAGTCGTCGCGAAATTCCCTGCAAAATTTACAAAGTCATTACTTCAATAATATTAAAACAGATACTGGAGTCACTTCCAGAGAATGAGATACTGAACAAAATGGCAACATAAAGAAGGTGACTTCCAGGCCCGAATGCCGCGACGGAATCGTGCGATATTGGTAATTAACAAGCTTGAACACAAAGCGAGTTCGGGACCCGTTGGAGACAAACCATAAGAAGATGGTAAAGCAACATAAAGCACTGACCATACATGACACTGGGAGAAAATCCTATGACGATGCTCGATAACCCACCAGATTTGTACGTCGCTTAACCTACAAGCTCAACCGAACAGTGGTTACGTCACTACGTGAATCGCCCGACGGCAGCGAGGAATCAGTCCAGCAATCCTCTTGTACATAATTGGGATAGGATAGGATTTACATATACATATATATCCCGGGAGAGGAAATCCGATAAGACAGCAAAACCAAATGGCGAACCACGGCTGGTATGGAATAAGTTAGTTATTTGTGTACGGAAGCATGGACTTGATGGTGAAGAAAGCGTAACCGAATAGCGGTTACGTGAACCACCCTACGGCGGCGAGGAGTCCAGCAATTCTTTCGCACATAACTATCCCCACATGGGATTCGATCCTGCGAACCCACGCGAAGCAATTAGAGGTGCGGTGGCGAGCGTATTCCTAACGCTTAGCACGATGAGTCACACCGCCGCGCCGAATCCACGCAGGGTGATCAGAGGTGCGGTGGCGAGCGTAACGTGAAGTTATATACAAACAAATTCACAAAACTCATCAGTATAAACCTATTCAACTGTATGATTTAGCTCAGGAAAATGTTCGTCCAACCAATGTACGTCGTTACGGTACGTTGCGTGATTAACAGTGATCAAGGCTGTTCATTGCACAAGTCTCAAAGATGCTCAACCGCAAGTACCGGTACCGCGGTAATCGTTATATTTATTTAATAAATATTCTACAGATAAAACTTTGTTAAGTTTGCTTTGATAGCTGACTTGTCAAATTGCGATTCACGTTTGCTCCCAATATCTAGTTGATTTAAATTGACCTGTTGGTGTTATCTTCAAGTGGACTAAGAACCAGAATCGTAATGCAAGGTGAAAACGTGTTGCAATAATTACAAGTCAAACATTTAAATTTTAATAAAGATACATATTATAATGCAATAATTTACGCCAACATTGGTTAAATAAATAACTCAATAATGTCTATAGGCTATATGAAAACAAAATATGAAGGTAGAACGGCAAATTATGGGAAAGAGTATGCAATTTGAATAAAGCTAATAGTTAGAGATATATAATATTTGCTTACATTAAACATTGTCTGGATATCCTGGTATGAAGTTTTCAACAATTCACCCCATGATGTCAAATTGCAGTATGTTAAAACACCACCTGGTTTAAGAAGTCTATGTGCATGGTTTTTTATGAATTCGAACTGATGTGTGTGCCATGTTTCTTCAGAAAGTGGATATGTATCATAAAGAATACCTGAATAAAAAAATGTATTGATAATTTGTCAATCGCTCCCGATACATTAGTCGTAGGTTGTCATCCACATCTTGTAGAGATTTCTACGATTAAAATTTCTCCCACGAATGTCAGCATTGTGGAATTCACTCCCACTTAGATGTTATCCTGTCATTGTAACTTGAATTTTTTGAGGCGGTTTCCAGTCTACGAACATCTATACATAATACACTTTGCCGTCTCGGGGCCATGGGCCAAATGGACAAAAAGGCTGCCAAATCTCTACCCCAAAATATACTCAAAATATCGATATCAAGCTTACCATCAAAGTGTCCATCAGGTAGAGTTGGTACTACATCTTGCCATAATCCTTTCAATGGTACAACCTAGAGATGCAAACACAAATGTAACTCACACTAAATCAAAGAAATTGCAATATTTTGTTTGCATATGTTACCTCTTGATCAGAAATATGCCTTTTCGTAAATGTAGTAGGCCTACTAAATTTGCCATTACCAAAAACGTTTTGGGGCAAAAATTGGCGCTGGAATCACTGTTCCATCAACTAGTCAACAGTCATAGACAATGGAAACAAAATGTTTCGAATCGTCAGATTATGATATAAATGGAGTAATGAAAAATGCCTCATTTTGATTGAGTTAAGAATAAAAGCAAATTTATAGATTTATGTCAAGGTATATAATACTGCAGTAAGAGAGACAAAAACTAATTTATTCCACAAATATTATCAACACCAAACATGAAGTAACATACTGCAAAAAGGTGATGATATAACAATAATTTGGTCACTTCGTGGAAGTGAGAGTATTTGCTGAACATGATAGGCTATTAAGAATTTCCTGTGGGATTTCCTGTATTTCAATGCTACTAGATTACAATGACTATAATTTTTATAACAAGATTAGTATATACATTATTCGATGAACAATACATTCCAGATCATATGAGTCTCAACAATGGGAATAAAGATGATAAGTGATAGCACCTTATGAGGTTGCTTTTTCTTCCATTCCTCAAGTCTAACATAAACTCCATCATTACATTCAATGATCCAGTGTTCATCTATATTGCGAGACTCAATTTTGTCTGCAGCAATTGCCATTCCAAAACCAATTTCTAGCACTCTGCCCCCTAAAAATAATGAAACACAGTTTAAACACAAAATTCATTCCAAAAACATTATTTATAACAACTTTTTGCTTATAGCTAGCTCAATATGTACTACAAGTTTATTTAAAAAATTTCTTCATTCGCTGCTTCATATCTAAAATCAAACTTGTGAAAAGTCTTTCGCCGGGCAATCTACCTTTTGATGTCGCAATTTCCGCCAATAAGTGCATGTATGGTGTCTCCCATCTTTCCATTACTGGCTTGCCAAGGATCTCTAAATGGGTGTCAGTTTCATTATATCCTGCCTTTGCATCAGTCCATTGAGAAGTGCAATCTTCTCCCACTGAAAATATTTTTTCAGAAGTCATTGTTGATTTGTGGATAAAGGAATCCTACAACACTAAAATGAGAAAAATAATTTGTGTAGCACTATTGTATATTGTTCAATAAAACAGCACACGCCCCTCATGAGCAATATTTGATGATAGGTTTATGTCCAAGACTTTTATCCATAAAAATTTGGTGAATGAAAAGGGGGCATAAAAGGCAGAAATAACATTGTACGCACAAAAACAAACTAAATGAAAATATGCATAAAAGATGGAAGTTGAAATAAATTGTACTTAATTTAAGTTTTCATGTAATAGTTATACAAAAAATAAACACAATAGAAATTCCTGCACAAAAATACAACACTCACATTTTCAAAACAACTGGGCTTGCAGTGAAATAATCTAAGTCATGAACAGATAGAAGGGTGACTTAATAAAAAGTGACTTGCAAAATGCACCATATGGAATAATATAAACTAACTCATTGAATATTTATCCTTCGAAAAATCTGACATGTCAAATCCAAATACAGAAATATTATGATTTCTATTATTCGCGTGATGGCCTTTATTGGTCAAGGTCAATTTTTAGGGCTTTCCGTATTTACCCTGCACCACGATAAAAAACGATTAGTCGGCTTGACGCCGTCCCACCCTGAGTATAGCTAATCTCTCGTCATACCGACTCGGCGTGATCAACTACACTACCGTTACCCAGTTTGCCTGAACTTCATACTGTTATAAAGTAGCTTATGCGTGCCGCGATATGTTGGAAAACCGCGTTATCAAATCACAATACATGATGACATCACAGACAATATAATACCACATCTGTCATAGTGTTATCTTAACCTAATAACTGACAGCCACTCTACGCTGATATGCGGGTCTCTTTATATACACAATTCTAGTTTACACAGCTAAATTCTTCGTGTAATTCGTTTGTATATTCTTGTGTCAGATCAGCGGCATTGACATAAAAACTAGGTACATCTAAAAAGGCAAATAACGATTGTGCAATATCTTCAGACACATTCTTAGCAGAACATTCGATTCAGCCGATATGACTTTCAACCTCTCGTATGATAGTGACCTTATACGATATACGCCACTGTAGAAAATTACGTAATGTATTGTTCAAATAAAAACGAATATTCCCCAGTGACATAGATAGGATTTCCAACCGTATTTAGCCCGAAGAGGGAACGTTCCGTTTACTAGTTAATATTAGCTTTTTTAGCGACGAAAGTTAATAATGTCTATTCTACAAATCTAACTACAAATTGTACTTCTGAAGTGTATCGATCACTGTTGAACTCAAACTAGTTTGCGAGGAGGTTTCGCCGACGAAGAATTATTGCGGGGACAGAGGCACACCTGTCTTGTGTTATATCATATGGTTCAGCTGCATTTCATTTTCGAAGTATTCTAATACTACATTTTAATAATTTATGCTTCAGTCAACTGTACATTAGAATTAACCGAGTAAGCTGCTTTACCAAGAGTGCTTTCACCAAAAACTTTGACTCTGCCTAAGGGTAAAATACTTTGGTAGAGTATGGGATTTATTTCATGATTATGATAGTCATAGTGCTCTTAGATAAATACGAATGCTGAAATAAATACAACTACAGCAATCAAAGCGCAGGACAACATTACCCCTGGGCAGGGATGGCCATTTCCGAATACTAAACTATTCCGAATACATTCTAAAATAATGTTTTCGAATCTGGAATCCCGAATACATTCTAAAATCGAAAATAACACATTTTTGTTTTAGTTCATAAAACCCAGTAAAATAGTAAATAAGCTTCAATAGTCCACAAACCAACAGTATATGTAATATGTATACAAAGTAATTAATAGTTTGTGGTTATTATGTTCAGCATATTGTTAAGTCTGAAATTAGCAATAAATTAGAGGATAGAGGACCACCACTGCCAGGCGCGCAGCCAGGATTTTCAAAATCGGAAATTCCCATTGCCGCCTGTAACATCCACCGCGATTCCGTGCTCGTTAAAATAGCAGTCTTTTCAGCGTATAATCATCATCCTGTCACGTACATTATTCAATCCATGACAACTACGAGATTCTAAAATATCTTTATATATTAATTTAATGTGTCCAACGTAACTCGCGTTGCTTCTACTTACGTCAAAATAAAAACATTACTATTTGGTCCACGGCGTTAATACGTATTTTTGCAATCTTGCCAACTCGTTATCGCCGTTAGAAAAATCTCAATAACTGATATAAAATCCTGCAAAGTACAACTTCATTTCATCCAATGAATATACATATAAAGTTTAGCAGTAAATTAAAAATACATATTCATCGCCGCGATTACTCCACCTGTTAAAAGAGCCGACTTTTACAACGAATAATATAACAACAAATATATATTTATTTTTCTGTTGTGCAAAGTGATTAATTCGTGACCAATACGAGCATATTTAAAATGTCGTGCTTTAATGATTCAATTGTTTTCAATTTAACCTGCGGTTGCGTCGACAAAATAAAATCCTCACCACTCTAATATGCCATGGCATTCGCGGACATAAAAATAAAAATGTGTGGTAAACTGTCCTGTCCGATTATATATTGTTTTGATCCGTATTTTGCGAATTCGGCAAATTTGAGATGTGTAACACTGACTCCGCTCAATCGAAATGCCGCCACTCCGATTATTTTTGAGATAAAACCGTTCGAAAAATTCATAAATCTGCCGTAAAATCTCAGAGTAAAATTTATTTCAGCACAATAAAAATTGATTGAATATACTTAAGATTAATTATATTATATACATTCTCACAGCCCGGTAAAAGTCGCGTTCAAACCTTGTATAATGTTAACACAAAAATTTTCGACGGCAATTTGATTGAGGTAAGGATAATCAGGCAAATCCCGCCCTCAATTAGTGACGATATGTTTCTAAACGCGGACCAAACATAATGTGGAAATTTTGCGACTTTCACTGCCTAAATGAGCGTTTTTTAAACTGTCGCGGGCCTCAATAAAACATATTTTGTTTACGGTTTTATTTTCAGTATATTAAATTGCCGCTTTTCAATCAAAAAATTTGCGTTTTATTTAGAAACTCGCCGCCGATGAACGTACTCTCTCAATTTGCAATTCTGTGCGAGTACAAAAATCAAATCAGTGTCATCGTTATGTGGAACAAATTTGTGGAAAATTTGCATTTCAGAGAAAATAACACAAACGTAAAGGCGTTTACGGCCTAAATAACACGTCCGCTGATGAAGCAATCGCGCGCAAGTTCTTATCAAGAACGTTTTCACTCAACGGAAACGTCCTGAAAGCGGCGTCGAAAATGTGTAACGTCACACAAATATCCGATATTCTTATGAACGCTAATTCCGATATTCGAATAACGAGATATTCGAATACTTTATTCGAATTGGCCTTTCCTGCCCATGGGTTAGGGTTTCCAACTATGAAAAGTTTCAATAAAGGACATAGATTACCGTCATCATTTATTTTGTAACTTGCAGGAAATAACAATATAAAATGAAATAAAAATTATATACAAGTTAAAAAGATATATTGAAACAGTCTTCATGTATTGTTTATTTAACATTGACCCAAACAATGTTAATAAAATTGTTATTTCTTTGGCTATTTGAGCCGGACAAAAGCGAAATTAAGAATAATTAAAAGCTTGCAAATACATAAACGGATACGATTTTTAGGAACGGAACAATACCAAACACAGTACTATAACTATCGGGCAAAACGATGTTGGAAAGCATAAAGGACAATTAGCATCTTTTCTACATGCTAAAAAGGACAAAGACCTAAAAGCTTAATAGGATTGTCCTATAAAATGAATGACGGTTGGCAACCCTACCCTGGGTGGAAATCGTAGACCGGTCGCTTATGCACATTCACGTTGCGTGTATCGGCGGCACTCTGCTATGTCAAGTGAAGGCGGATTAGATCAGCACGGACATTGGCGAGCTAAAGGACAAGCCATAAATCATGTCATTTTGAGTTGTTGCATGGCAAAGTACACAAAACACGACACTTCAATGAACGTGTGCTACAAACAATTACACAAATCATACCATTTTGTGTTATTGTTTGCATTTTGTCAATCATGGCCAAAAGTGACACTTGAATGAACGTGTGCTGGGACAAGCCTCAAAGCATGTCATTTTGGGGCTATTGCTTGCATTCATCTAATCATGTCAGAAAGTATGCTATAAGTCAGGGGTTTTCAAACTTTCGGTATTATGGAGTCCGTGGAGAGGTTGAAATAAATTTATAAACGATTAATGTTCCTGAGTAAATTAAAAATACTTTATTTAATGACTATTTGCTGCTTTGTATTTTAAAAAGGATTAAATTGCGGTTGTCAAATTTTATTAATGCCGTTATTGCTTTATTAGACAATTACAAAATTAGCCAGGTCAATATTTTAATAAGTATACGAATAGCTCGCGGAGCCCTTGGGGTTTTCTCACGTAGCACTGCTGCTCCGTATGGGGCTCTTTGAGCACTCATCTAGTCTTCCCAAACACAACACTTGAATGAATGTGTGCTTCAAAACATTATCATGTACAGTATACACATTGGCTATAATCAATTTTATAATATCAATATAGAAACCGCAAGATTGATAAATCTCTGAAATTTTGCGTTATAGATAATGAAGTTAATCAATTTAAAAGTACAACTGTCAAAAATTTATATTCCAAGATAAAGCATAAAGCGACATATCCCTCACTGGGTGACCGTACATTTGAACCCACGTACATTTGAACCCATGCGTATATCCGCGGGTTCAATCTATATGCGGTTGCTAAAACCCAGTGGCGGCGCGTGGTCATTTTGACAACCGGGTCAAGCTACTGCGGGACCAAGTCACCCCCATCTACGGGGACAGGATGAGCGCTGTAAGTTCTCCCATCATTTTATGAGTATAAAAACCATTCCATCGGTAACAGCCAATCGGCAAAAGCGACAATTTTTAACGATAAGAAAGTGTCTTTAAAACCGGTCCAAGTCAAGGGATTAATAAATATAGACATAGTTTATTTTGAAACCTCTTTCAAAAGGAAAGGCAATATTTACCCAGATAAATACAATGACATATTAACAGAAACTTCAGGAAAGCAGACAAAACCTAAAATAAGGTTTAAAACGTTACTATGAAGAAAGGAAAGTTAATGCAAAGATAAGGACATGCGTCGCTCACTCATAGATATATATGCTGCTAGACTTCTACTGCTTGAACATATATGCAACACGCCGCGGTTTCTTGGAAGCAAAATGCTTAATAACGCGCTGATTAAAGTCATGCATCCCAGAAATAACGTCTCTGTGAATGGATAAAACAGCCAAGGAATTTAATCTATCTTGCTTCATTGTCTTTCTGAGATACGTTTTAATACGCTTCAGCGTGCTGAATGTTCGCTCTGCGTCGGCGGAAGAAATAGGCGTCGTCAAAATGATGTCCAGAAATCTTGCAGACGCCGCAAAGGTAGTTACTAGAGCAGGGCTGGGCAATTATTTTTGCTCGAGGGCCACATTGCAAATCAAAATGCAGTGGCGGGCCGGACTAATTTGAGTCAACCCACATTGCGTTTTTTATTGTATTTTATTACACAATTGAATGAAACAAAATCTAATACAATTGTTATTTTTAATGAGACGTGTGTATGCTCTGCTGCGCCTTAACAAGTCCTTGAATGTCGGGTTCAATGGCA